GGGGGGGAGGGAATCCAAATTTTCCCCACCCCACCAGTAAATTTCCCAACTTTCGAAAAAATGAAAGCCGAGGGATTAGTGTTACTACTATAATATATTAATTTTCTTACTCAGCTATCCAAAGATTCGCTGAATGCTTATGCCCGTTAGGGTATGCACAAACAAAAATAAATGTTGGTGATTATGAAAATAATAATGGGAATTATTCTACTTTGGACCAAGGTTCTTGGTCTTCCACCATGTATAGGAATATTCAATACAAATGAAAGGAAACAACACTTAAATAATATTGTGCTGATTGTTTTCTACCATTATTTTTTCTATCTTCAAGGCCCGAAATTTCCCAACTTTTCCAAGTCGAGAAAACAGCGAAAAGTTGGGAATTTTGTAAAATTGTCACTTCAAAATTTGTGGACTGTTCAGGACTGTTTTCTTACTTGGGAGAAATTGAACTTTTCTGAACCAACTCAGAATTCTCTTCAAGTTATGCACGGTGGGAAATCCCAACCTTCTCGTGGTTCTTTCCCTTTTCTTATTACCTCTCGTTTTCTTTTCTCTCATTTAAATTTTTATTCATTTTTTTACTATTATTTTTTTCTATCTTCATGGCCCAAAATTTCCCAACTTTTACCAACTTTTTCCCAAGTCGAAAAAGCAGGGGGGTAGACTCCCCCCATCCCCCCATGGCGACGGCCCTGCATGTAATGAACTAATTCCCAATTTTCTCATAAGAAAAAACATTCGGAAGAAGGGAAGAATGCATTTCTCTTTGGGAATTTAGTAAATTTTCAAAATTCTGAAATCTATTACAGTTATTAAACATTCCAATAGATTGAGTTTCAATGGTGGGAGAAAAATGTCTTCAATAAATCCATTTTATGCGGGTGTTTTGAATGTCAGAATCATTTCTGTTTAATGAATTTTAATTTTTCCATTTATTTTTCCATTTTAACACCTGCGTTGAAAAGTCCCGAGCCTAAAGGCAAACACGTTTTTTTTTTTGTTCAAAATTGGCGTTATACATCAACGTAATCTCCATCGAGAGCCATACAATCATTTTAGCGCCACTCTCACTTTCAGCACCACTTTTGTAGAACGATTCATCTTTTACCTCAAAATTTCTTATCGGTGAGCATTTTTCTGAGGTCTGCTAAGAGCCAGTAGTCACTGGGAACCAAATCTGGCGAATACGGTGGATGTGGGTGCAATTCTAAGTTCAATTCATGTAGTTTTGCCATTGTTTGGATTAACTTTTATACGGTGGGTTATCTTGGTGAAACAACATTTCTTTCTTTGCCGTATGCGATCGTTTCTTTGCAATTTCGGCCTTCAACCGCTCCAATAATGCTATATAATATTCACAGCCGATTGTTGTGCTTTCGGGAGCTTTGGACGAGGTTCACCAGTTGATCTCCACTGCGATGACGATCTATGTTTCATCTATTTTCACATATCGACGCATACATTCTGGTTTGTTATGTTTAAACATGGCCAAACTCCGCTCAGAATCATCAAGATGTTCTTGTTCTTGGTCAGTAGTGAGCTCGTGCGGCACCCACTTTGAACCGAGCTTTCTCAAAGTCAAACGCTCATGCACTATGAAGTCAACGTTCTTTTGATATCTTTATAATGTCAGCTAACTCACACAACTTCACTTTTTGATCATTCAAAACGATTTTGTGATTTCAAGACTACTGCTATCTAGACGTTAGAACTGAGACTTTTCAGTCCACGTAGTAATTAAGTTGTACAACTCTCATGTTTCTGGGAGAGATAACATATTTATTTTGTTGTTTCTTCATAGTCTTGTTCATATTTTTGTTTCAATCTCTTTTGAAAAATAACTATTAAAATTATAATCACTCGTGGAACTATTTTCGAAGTTGGTGACTCACGTTGATGGAGAAACGACTGTGATAAATCATCGTCTCTAAGCAGAAATCCTGGAGACTCTTTCTCGAACGAGGGGAAAGTTGGAATTGACCACGAACATATCGAAAAAAACTTTTAGAACCACTTCTTAGGAAAAAGAATTGACGGGGTATAATGTATATTACCGGAGTTTTTTTCCAACACCAAATCGTTATTTTTAACACCTCGACACGTGTTTCGATCACCAAGTGATCATCTTCAGTGAAAGACTACTGCGATCTAATCCTATTTATGTTTATGCTAGGAAATAAGGAACTAACATCAATTACTAGAGAAAAATAATTTCAATGATAACGAAATCGATGAATTCGTTTCTCTTACTAATTTGTGTATGAAACAAAATCGGTTCCAGGTAGAAGGTTGCTTTTATGAACATCAGGAAGGAACGGCCATGAGAAACCCCTTGTCCTCCTACCTGGCAGACTTGTTCATGAGCAGATTCGAAATGGAAACCAAAGGAAAGTCGTAGTATTTTCCTCGGATTTGGCTAAAGTATGTGTATGTAAAAATCGAATATTGAGGACGTTGTTTCCATTTCAAATAATAGATGTCCATCAATAAAATTCACGTATGAGTTACAAAATAAGGGACAACTACCATTTCTTGACGATTTGGTAATGATGAGCCAATATGAAAGATTATAATACGATCTATTTAGAAAAGAAACAAGCACGTACAGGTATAGGTATTCCTGACAGTTCACATCACTGTGGACAGCACAAACGTGCTGGGTTAAATTTTTTAGTGCATCGTCTTTTGACTTTCCCTTTAACACATGATAGGTTCACAAAAGAAAGACGTACAATACAGGAAATAGCAGTGGTCCAAGAATACTTTTTTGTGGAACACCATCCGCGACCAATGTATTGCTGCTAAAGATGTCATCGTGAAAGATATATTGTTTTCGCTTTATTCGAAGCACAATCAAAAACTTTGCTGAAGTTGAAAAATAAATAGTCGATATATAGGACACGTGATATATCAGAGCCCTACTTGAGGTGCTTGTATCTTTTCTTTAACAAATTTTCGGTTAAGACAGGTTCCATCCGGCTTATTAATTCGATAGAGAAATGAAAGAAACGCTTAATGTATGCTAGTGATTTACAGCTGCGTTTGAAACTTCATTTTTAAAGTATAAAAATATTTTTGTATGTACGTAGTTGGAAAAGGAAGAGTGAGAATTCCTAAGTGTCTGAAATCTAGGGTATTTCCTTCTTTTCTGTGACTATTATGAACATCACTAGTTCATGTGTCAACAACTAAACTGCTGTCTTTAGTTCACTGTCTCTGGCAGACTTACAACAGCCATCTTCTTGGTGAGTTGCCTTCAGAAGATATTGCTTGACCCCAGATAAATATTGATAAACGCTCTTATCTGTGTGTAATGTAGGTGGAATGTAATAATATTCTTTCAGACTTGAAATTTATCAACTCGGGCTCACAGTTACAGAGTGATTTCTGTAGATATTAGCGAACGGCGATGATGATGAGAATAATAGTCACATTGTGATGAGGTGATGTCTCGTTATGATACTTATTCAAGAAACACTTTTTTGTGAGATTATCACTACAAAGTTTTATAAAAGCTAAACATGTGTTTCGCCATGCAATAGCTTCTTCAAGCGTGTCTTTACAGTAAAGACAGTAAAGAGATATTACTCCTAATTGACCGTACGACGGGTTTTCAGTCAAAATTCGTCGTACGGTCAATTCACTTCTATGAAAAGCTTCTGCAACAATTTAGCCGACTCAGAGTACAATCATCGTAGGCCACTGTCAATATTTCAAGTTTTTTTGAGCAATTATTCCATTTCTTTCACAAAATTTGATGCAAATTTGTTTCCGATATCAGGAAATCGCTGATCCACGCGAAATAATTCTAACTTTTATGCCTGTCACCAACAAACTAAACATGCTAAACAGCTGGAACTGTGAACATATATCCGAGACGAGTGTAACACCATAAAAAAATCGCTAATTCAACATTCACGTTATTTTTTGAACAGTTCACGTTCACCTCCAAAAGGCAGAATAAAATCTCATAACCACTTGTAGCCTTGCTCAGATTTAAATTCCTCATGAGTTCCTCAAGCTGAAGTTGGTTATCGCTCGCACCCTGTACATGAAACCGAACCGCTGTTTACAACAAATCTAGAGATTAATGCAATAGAGCATAGTGTCGATGATTAATGCGTTTTAATTGGTATTTAATTGCTGAATGGTCTTTTGATGTTTTGGATGAGTTGGTATTAATGATCTGTATCATTGTAAATTTAATATTTTCCAGGGAACAATCAAACAAACAGATGATACATCTGCTACCGAGGCTCATGGCTCCCCGATCAGTGATCTTTGTTCTTCCAGCGGATAAACATTGCTGATAATGTATATGGTTGAGTAAACAGTAAATGAAGAAACTGCCACTGTCTCAACTTCGATGAAAAAGCATGTGAAGACGATTGACAAGTTTCTGTGATAAAAGACCACGAATAATTATTCGGTTCGTGAACATGTCCAAGATTCTAGTGATAATTTGTTTTCTTACTGGTGCTCTAGTGTCTAGTTCTGTTATTGATAAAACTAGGGAGAATTATAGGACTAAATACACCTCTTTACCGTACTTCAAGTACACCGTTGACGAACTATTGACGTCAAACTTTCCAACTAAAACCTCGGAGGATGTTTACTTGGACCCATGCAAAGCGGGTAAGATCTTTTGATGTTCTCAATTGATATGTCATGATTCGTCGTTAGAACTTGTTCAACAAACGATTTTTTTGTTTTGTTCCGTCATTTTCCAAGACGTTTCTGCTTCATGAAAATTTTCAACCATGAACTGGAAATCCTTAACTTTGTTGAACTTTAGGTTCGCAAAATGATAATTGGTATCTTATAGGCTGTCATTGGTTGAATGGGAGCTTCAAAGGTAACTAAATGAAAATTTTCAGAGGTATCTACTTATTTATTAGCTTTTGAAATAACTTTATTGCTTATTTTGTCATTACAGAAGGTGATTCTGAAAACAAGACAAATGATAGATTTTCAACTCTTCAATCGAATCATCTAAAATTTGAATTTCAGGTTCAGCGGAAGATAAAACAGTAAATAAAATTTCGGATGGCGTCGTCTTTCTCAATTGCCTAGAAACTAAAAATAATAATAATACTTTAGAGGAAATTTTCTTTTCATTTTGAATAATTTTTGCGCAATACCACTTTTTTTGTTATTCTCAAAGTTCAGCCTAAAACTGAAAGGCACAGTTTCAGAAAATGGCTGCGAGAGCTTTAATTTCTAATAAAAAAATCCACTTGTAAACAAGACCAAATATTAAAGCCAGTACAGAAAAAAATTGTCATATGAAATATTAATAGCTCAAAAACCACAATGAATCGCCTAGATGGTGATTATGATAGGCCTTGAGATGTCCCATAAAAATAGTGAAATATTTCTACAGACTTTGGTACAGACTACAATGTGTAAATTGAAAACTATAATGAACGATTACAAAAATTATTATGAAAACCAAAAAGTAGGAGATCGATCCCGAGAGCCACCAAGACTACCAAACCTGAACAACAAAGAATCATCATGTGAATACACCATTCACCTTTTTCCTTGACCCTGACAGCTGTTCGAACCGAAATCGTTCTTAAACTTTCTCACTATTTATAGATATACGATATCCATTACGATTTCTTATCAGCTTTTCCTCGAATTCAGATTCTGACAAGGAATTGTGGACTCGTTATTGAATGTTATTCAGTCAGAAATTTTCTTTCGCCACGAAATGTCAGTAACCCGTTTGATAATAATAGTGGAATGTTCCACGGTGGAATCTTCGAAATGTAAAATATAATCAGTTTCTATACTTCAGTCTTTGGATGGATGTCAACAAAGCTGAGTCAGAGAAAGGGCATTGCTATTTGTTAACATCTTATTTATGACTAATTCGCGTTTATTGAAATTCCTTTTTGAAAAAATAAACTGACACTTTTCAACTGTCTATTCCTCCGAAGAAGAAGGTAATTGATTCAAATAAATACTCTTACCAAAGCTGTGTAGATCAGACTACTTTTTCGGAGTCTTTGAAATCAAAGCAACGTACGTTTTCAAAGTTTATTCGCTCGATTCTCCCTTAGTTTTCCATGAAATATGATTCCCTCAGTCGCAAATATGCCCGGAAAATCCACGTGATCTACAACTCTCGCAAAACTAATCAATCTTTCTCTGAAGGGATGCTCATCCGGCCTTGAACCCTTCGAGTTCAAAGCCTGTATTTACCAACTAATCTGGTTCTAAATTTCGGTTTGCGTTATTCGTGTTATTCAAAGTAGGGAAGGATTATCCCTTGTTTGAGTAATTAGACAATGACAGCGAAGACTCGGGAAGAGCACTTTGTGAATGTAATTATTAACATCAGTAATTTTTTTCTGTGGGTAAATGTGTGATAAGTAGATAGACATATGTACTTTCCAAAAAAAAAATGAAATCAACAACATTCGTTAGTTCTACGAAAAAATGGTTCATTCAATAGGAAGTACCACCCAAATTGGCCCTTAAAGTTTCAAAAATGAGTGTGACGTCATTACCACTTAGACTACGTTCCAAAATGTCTGTTTTTTCTGAAGCAGAATAATCTACATGAAAGAATATAAGACATAACCATTCAATTAGTACTATTCTATCAAATGCCTCTCAAACAAAATTCTAAATTTCAAGTCTTTGTTTCGTAATATAAAATGCTTCTCAATTACGGAACTAATCATCAAATCTACCCCAAAAATAAGTTGGTAATGTCCCACACATAGTCAGAACAACAAAAATACATTAAGAAGAAGAAGAAAAATTAATTTATGCAATATGTATAGTTTAAAGGTGTTGCCGATTTCCTATCAAATGTCAGTGACGTCACACCATCGTTTTTACTCGATTTTGACAAAACTACCAACAAAAAATCGTGAAGAATATAAAGCAGGCTACTATCATATATGTAGTTTGCACCATTGCGGTTATCCCAATAACGCTGTAAAGGTTCATTTATGTTCTTGATGAATAGTTTCTGGTATGGAAGCCATTAAAATAAAAGGGATGGTTTTTATATTAAAATTTTTTTACTGTACATGTTAACTATTGTCAACGACGTAAATAACATACATTAATACACAGAGTGGATCGTGGAAAATGTCCCTTCCATCAACAAACTTTTTGACCCCAAAACCATGGCAAAACCTTCAATATTTTATCGGAATGGGGGTTTATGCCAAAAATATCAACTTCTCTGAAGAGTTTTTCAAAAGAGAACGTTTATTTTATATTGACGGTTGAAAGATCTCAGTTTATGACAACTTCATTGATGGGAACGTCTCATTTTACATGCATACCAATTTCTAATCCAAGAAAACTTATGGATTTCATATCAAGACGAATCATTTTCCGTAAAAGTTATTCGCTCAATTTTCCGTAAATGACAGTCATGCATTTTGTTTTGTACAGAATGAGAGTAAGCTCTCTCACCAAACCAGATTTTGATCGTTTCAAGGTTCTTCTCTACATCTTATATGACTTTTTCTTACAATGAGCGTCACAGAAAATTACTGTTTCGTCCATAGAGGATGATATACTGCGTCTATCTCGAAAAAGTTTGCACAGACTCATTTATTAAGTATAAGCTAATAATACAAACTATTTATCTAATAGCAAGTTCTTCCATAACGCCATATCTAAACTAAGCCTTTGTTGCAGATCAGTTTTTAGGAGACATCGCACTACCACTAAACGACCAGTCGCCAAAGCGAAAATATGAAGATATCCAGCAAGAAATCGAAAAATACAAACAAGACATCCTGGATGGCCTTCAAATCGAGGAAGAGGGACTTCCTGATTTTCTACGCAAGAAGACTAAACTATCATCATCGCTACCCTCTGAGAATTACAACGATCCCTTTGATAATTTATCAATAGATACGGGTCATAAAAACGGACAAGTTTTGAAAAGTTACTCAGATCTCAATAATCAGGCGAAATCAGAGGAAAATCCTTTCGCTAAAGACAATAAAATGAATCGTACAGAAAATCCTTCGAAGGGTAAATCAGAGGCAACAACAGAGAAAGTAACAAAAGCAGTAATTGACAAAACTACCCTTGATAAACAGAAGAGAAATGAAAGTTCGTGGAGACAAACCGGGTAAGAAGAAAAATTGCTCCATAAAAGCTTTTATTTTTCTAAAAACGAATCTTTCCTAAAAATATTCCTCGTTGAATTTGACGGCTTGTGAGTGTATATTTATTATTTCTTTTAAAACGTAACCATTTCTAAAATAGATGTTTGATACTCAAACAACACAATTTGCCTTGAACTCATTTATGAGGAGAAACCGAAAATAACGTTCTTATCACTGTGATTAAAGGTTATTTATATTCGTATGATAAAATCAATGGATCACTCTCAAAACATCAATCTGAAATACATGTTTTTTCCAAACCTGTGCGTAATGACGAAATACAAATGCAAATTCAGTCAAGTTCAAAGTAGACTGGAAGTCTACTGCTGAATTTGTTTGGAGGTGCTTTTACTACCATCAATATTTACCTTTAGGTAGCTTTTGAAACACTGTTATAGGGTTAGATTTCAATAAGATCTTGAACTTCAAAACTAATTTACTGAGTCCGTTGTATAAGTGTAAAGGCCAAGACAGGTTATTCAAATGATTGTTCATGATAAGTTTCTCCGCATCATTCATTTTACTAACAGTAGTTCTAATTCCAGTTCTCTACCATACAAGATTGTTTCGGTTGCGCAAAATCAAAAAAAAACAGACCTCGAAACGCGACAATTTCTGCCGATCGTTTAAATTGTGGGGCACCCACTTTTCGAATTTTTTGACCTTTCCAATACGTTTCAAACCATCAAACACCGCATGGGGCTCAGTTTTTCCGCCATCAGTCTCCACCAGGGTTCTTAAATTCTCATCGACCACTTCGTGGTTTATCTTCGAGGCTAAAATCTATGAAACGAAATTTCGCAAACTAACATCGTTTTAGTTGAAGGTGGTAGTTCATGGAACGTTGTCAGGTTGCGATTACTTACTGAGTCCGAAAGGCAATCGTTTTAATTGAAATACCATATTTTTCTGTTGAAGATCGTGATTATTTATATTTTTCATGACTTATTTGGGACTTTGTGTATCTGGAATTAAAATTTCTGCTTTAATTTCATGTAATATTGATATGGAAATGTTTATTTTACTCAAATATTAATTTCACAAAATATTTAGTTGATTAATTTTTCTATCTGAAGATGATTTTGGAGTCAAATTCTGAAGTTAATTCCAATTGAAATGCATTGATATGTTGATTTTCCACCAAAAGTTTATAGTAATTGAATATATCTCAAGTTTTTCTGTGTCACTTTTCTATCTGCATGTGATTACACTCATTATTTCTCAGTGATCAAGTTTCCGAAGTGACTCTGGATTCCAGGTCAGTGGGCGACGAGAAAACTCAAGTTTTGCAGGATACAACCCGAAACCTTATCAGATCAACCAGAGCTGCCACTGCGAGAAAAGAAAGAGTGTGGGACTATGGGGTTATTCCCTATGAAATTGATGGAAATTTTAGTGGTATGCATAAGGCCCTCTTCAAGCAAGCCATGAAACATTGGGAAAATTCTACTTGCATCAAGTTTGTAGAGAGAAATCGAGACGAGCACCAGAATTATATTCTCTTTACCGAACGACCTTGCGGGTAACTATATATTTTATCTAGTTTAATACAAGTGAAAGAACTTCTGATATCTTCTGTATGGAAATGTGAGGATTATATATCGCTTTTCTTCTAGGTGCTGTTCATTTGTTGGAAAGAGAGGCAATGGTGGCCAAGCCATCAGTATAGGCAAGAACTGTGATAAATTTGGAATAATAGTTCACGAGCTTGGCCACGTTGTCGGGTTCTGGCACGAACATACTAGGCCAGACAGAGACAAGCACGTTAATATCATCAGAGGTAACATCATGAGTGGTGAGTATCTTCATTGAAGCAACAAATCACGTCTCTAAAGATCTTGTGACTATCTTTTCGACTGATTAAAGAATTTCCAATCAGTCTTTTAGATAACTCACACGTTACATTATTTCTTTCAATCAGTTTCAGTAAGTGAAATAAGTCCCTTCTTTCCAGGTCAAGAGTATAATTTCAATAAACTCAGCGATGAGGAAGTAAACTCCTTAGGTCTAACATACGATTATGATTCTATTATGCATTATGCCAGAAATACGTTTTCAAAAGGAACATATTTGGATACCATACAGCCCATCGATATGGTTGGTAGTAAGAGACCTGAAATAGGACAGAGAGTGAGGTTGAGCGAGGGTGACATAGCCCAGACTAACCTGCTTTACAAATGCCCTAGTAAGTAGAATTTTTGAGCGGGTAACGGAAGTGGATCCTCAATAAAAACAACCTCGCGAAATAATAGATGGTCATAGGCGATTTTTTTAAAATCTAACGTAGTGGTTAACAAATCTAGATATTTATTTTAATAAGAAGAACAGAAACATCCCCAGTAAATCATAAAAAAAAAACTTTCACGACTGGAGATAACTGTGTAGAAACTATTTTACGGGTTTGACTGCAGCGGACCTTTGATTTTATTCCATCGGTGTTGAGTGTGGATTCGTTTTTCTGGTTGGATTTATTGACTCGATTCACGTGTTGTTGACTTTATTTATGTCAATTCATTGTTGCGTTCAGTTGAAATTGTATCTATATTTGAATATCAATCGCCTCTCTATTCAATTTACGGTAGTAACTTTAAATTCTGTCGAGTACTTGAGTCTCTTCAAACGCGAGAACGTAAATCCTTCAAAGAGAGGTTCTGCCTCAAATGATCACAGTGCTTCAGGTCATTATTTCTGAAAAGAGTTTGAACTTGATTATTGAGGTACTGCTGATTCATCAGTATATTCGAGGCGGAAATTTCTCTTGTGTTTTCCTGTTTATTTATTGTCTCGGTAAATGCATTCCTCCAATACGGCCCGTAACATTTTTCAACATAGGTCAATGGAAAAGTTTAAATATAATCAGCGAGTCAGACAGAGAGTACCACGAGAAGGAATACAAGAACAAGAACCTAGCATTCAAAAAAAGAAGAGAAATTGTCTCCTCCTTACATTTAAAAATACATGCAGGCATGAAAACCGAAGGGTGTAATATATGCGCTATGATGACAAATAGAGCTATGCGTTCTCATCACCTTTGTAAATCTCTGGGCAGTTGTAGACGGAAAGAGACATACAAACCTGCAGATCACGGCCACAGAGTACCTTATAGAAGAGACACCCAGCACGGAACAGAAATCAGATTTTTTTTTGACAGATGTCAATCTTAGAGATGACAGTTGTCAACCCAAAAATTTCTTTGAACTGTAAGTCAACTTGAACATGGTGAGATAGGTTTCGAATGGTTTGAAATTGACTGATACTTAATGACATTGAACACCACACAGAAACTTGGCTCCTCGTAGTTAAAGTGTCGCCACTAGGGTATCTCTTCTGTGAAGTGTTCTGTACCATGGAACGCAAACATGGAAAATAGCTGCGACCACAGAACTTAAGTTATAGTTCTGTGTGGCTGTGACACTTGAATCATGAAACTTTTTTTTCAGAATGTGGCCGTACATATCAAACCAACTCTGCTACGTTCTCTCCTCCTATGCTGACAGGTGACATACCGGAAGAAGGTGTTAGATGCGAGTGGAGGATAACAGCTACTCACGGAGAGAGAATTGTACTGAATATATCCAACCTGGACATTGAGAAGTCTCCCGATTGCAAAATAGACTACATAGAAATTCGCGACGGTTATTGGCACAAGTCTCCAAGGCTCGGTTTGTTTTGCGGAACCGGCCAGTTCCATCACATAACCTCATCCGGGAGTAGAATGCTTGTGACTTACGTGGCAAAAAATCCAAAGGGACGTAGAGGATTCACGGCCAGTTATGAAGGTGAGATGAGGAAATAGCCAGGAAAAGGTATGAATTTTTTTTCGGAATAATACTGAGCCGGAAAAATTTGAAATATAAAATGTCTGTTAAATGCAATTTTTCACTAGTATGAGCTAGGAATCCGGATAATATCGATGATTCTTTTGTTTATTATCTTGTATCATCATTATTAGCAGACAGTTTACTTCAAACTCCCCAGCAATCTATAAATGTTTCATACTTGCAAAATGCGACATCTAGGTTTCATAATACGAACGTCAAACTCGGGGGACATGAATTATTGCCGATAATTAACAAAAGCATTCAAATATTGGTCGTTTTACTCATTCATTGATAAGTAAGAGTTTCAAATGTGAAACTCAAATCTTCATAATGATATTGTAACATTTATATTCAGGATGATAGTCTAGATGATTTAAAAATAGTGAAAGAATAGGGAAGAATTTCTATCTATGAGAGTGCTAATCAAACGATAAGCAGTTAATCAGAATAAGTGAATTTAAAACAAAGGTTAAAATTTATTGTTTTGGGGTTTGCAGAATTTTGAGTAATTCAATTGTGAATTTGTGAGAGTAATGTTTTTGGTGCGGTTATTATAGACATGAGGAATGAACAGGTAGAATAAATTACTTCCGCAATTCCAGGGAACAAAAACACAAAATAGAGTAATTTTCATCCGGAAAAACAAGTATTGTTTAGCTCATTCTAATTTTAATACTTTTGTATTTGATAATTTTCACTTGAAAGAAAGTAATTCAATTTTTTTCGCAGCCATTTGTGGTGGAGACCTCTTCATAGATACCGAGGGCCATCTGGAATCTCCAAATTACCCGGAGGAATACCAACCTAATAAAGAATGTATCTGGAGATTGACGGTCCCGAAAAACCATCAAGTTGCCTTACGATTTCAATCTTTCGACGTAGAAAATCACGACAGCTGCGTCTACGACTACGTAGAAATCCGTGACGGGTTGACCCTCGACAGTCCCATCATCAAAGTTCATTGTGGTCACAAAGTTCCTCCAGACGTCATTTCCACTTCGAACAACATGCTAGTCAAGTTTGTTTCCGATGGTTCGGTGCAGAAGGGGGGATTTTCTGCAATCATAATGAAGGAGTACGATGAATGCTCGATGATCGACCACGGGTGCAAACAACAATGCATGAACACACTGGGAAGTTATGTGTGCACCTGTAAGATCGGGTACGAACTACACTCCGATGGTAAAAATTGTGAAGGTAGGGAACGCAATTCACACAAACAAGTACTGAAACAAACTATAAACATTTCATTTGATATCTTGAAACACTTCTCTCAAGATTGTTTGAAAAACAACTCAAAACCTTTGAACTTGGGATTCCTGTCGAAAAAGCATCGACAATATGTCTTCACTCTCAACAGTTTTGGTCAATGAGTACTTTTATTGTTAGATTGACATCTTTAAATTGAGTTTGGGTATCGATGGTCCCACGTTGGGCGCCGCTTCAAAATATTTTTGGCTGAGTTTCAGACTAGTACTTCTGAAAAATCTATTGGAAGGCAAGTCTGGAATTGAAGGGGCTGTTACAATCTCTCATTGATAGATTTAGGCTTCTGAATTTCTGTAGTGTAATGGTGTTATGGAGTTAGATTTCTTTCATCTATAACCTGGTGTAATATTCTACTTATACGTATTAGAGTAGATTCGAAAACTTGGGGTTTATATTGAATATGATGACCCTCATCATGTTTATCGATCTTTTATGCAAACCTTTTTCTATCTTTTGATTTTCTCATATCAGTGAATGAAGTAGTCACCTCTCTCTGATCCCAAACTTATAATGTGTCCTTTTAGATGCTTGTGGAGGAGCCTTTGATGTTGCCAATGGCACAATCACATCTCCTTCTTTTCCGGATTACTACCCGCTGAACAAAAACTGCGTTTGGGAAATCATAGCGCAACCACAGTATAGAATCACTATCAACTTCACCCACTTCGATTTGGAAGGCAATCTCAACACTCAGCAACAACAGTGCGAATACGACAAGGTGGAAATTTATAGTAAACTGAAGGAAGGGAGACTGAAGAAGCATGGATCCTACTGTGGGCCAAAAGCTCCGGGACTGATCACTTCCGAAGGAAATGTGATGAGAGTCGTGTTTTACTCCGATAGTAGCGTACAGAAAACTGGATTTGCTGCTGTATTTTTTTCAGGTAAACGACTTTGATAGAGTCAAGTTACACTTTAGATATGCTCGACTTTTTTTTCCTCAGACATGGATGAATGTGCCATAAATCATGGTGGTTGCCAGCACGACTGCATGAACACCCTGGGCTCTTACGTTTGTACCTGCCACAACGGTTACACTCTCCATGAAAACGGACGAGACTGCAAAGAAGGAGGATGCAAATACGAAATTTCCACCCCATACGGTACAATCGGTAGTCCAAACTACCCCGACTACTACCCGGCGAGAAAAGACTGCGTTTGGCACTTCATGACGACTCCTGGACACAGAATACGAGTTTCCTTCCAGTTCTTCGAACTGGAACCGCACCAGGAATGTTCATACGATCACGTAGACTTTTACGACGGGTCTTCACCAGAATCTCCTTCCCTAGGAAGGTTTTGCGGATCGAAACTTCCGCACCTTATAATAGCTTCGGGTAATCAGCTGTATATGACATTCAGATCCGATGCTTCCGTTCAGAGAAACGGATTCTGGGCGACCCATTCGACTGTGTGTGGTGGTATGCTTGAAGCTTCGTTCCAGAAGCAACATGTTTACTCTCACGCTAAGTTTGGGAGCGCTAGTTACGATAACAGAGCCGATTGCGAGTGGACTATAGAAGCATCTGAAGGATATAACGTGAAGTTGTCCTTCCTAACCTTCGACATCGAGGATGAGAAGGATTGTGGATACGATTACATAGAAATATTCGACGGATTAGACTCAAGTGGTCCTGCTTATCCGAAAAACTGCGGGTCGAAGGTATGTTGGCTCTCCAATTTTTAATATCCTTTTTACTAATCAGTATTGTTTTGTCAATAGAAACCTGCAGATGTTTACTCAACCCATGGGGCATTACTTGTAAGATTCAGAAGCGATGATACCATTGTAAACAAGGGATTCAGCCTCGTTTACGAAATGGTGGAGATGTCTCTGAGTGAAGAAGAAGTGTGAAGATTTCCAGAAGATTTTTCGGGGACTTCGATTGCGCCAATTATTTCCGTCGTCATTTTTCATAGATAGAGTCATGTAAATTATTGTCCCATCTGTAAAGTTGCCATTTCATCATTCTGTCAGTATAAGATGTAACTTGAGAGTAGCAATAGATAAAAGCATAAACAGACAGGTTATATTCAGAACACATAACGGACAAGTAACCATTAGAGTATCATCAACGAATCTTCTTATTAAAAATAAAATAATTGCAGCTGTTTCATTTACGTTACCTTTCCATCACTGTTTGCCATTCATTTCCTTATCAATAACTTTTTTCCTAAAAATAATTGAATCAGAAAGCAAAAATAAAACGTTACCGGTATACCAGCCATATTGCTATTTACCTATCTCTTTTTTGTTTGCGAATCAATGCTCTCTTTCTCATGTCCAGTCCATCCTCTTAGTCGATACGTAGCAGTTCATCGTGCTCTGACTTTTTATTTATAACATTCCAATTTTCATGTTAATTTTGGGTTATTTCTTAAATATTTGAAAATCATGTTTTATCACTGCCACCGACTTTCCGGAACCGAACTTTACCGGATTACAAAAGTTCAGTGATGCACAAACCATCCATCAGAAAGCAAAAATGAAACGTTACCGGTATACCAGCCATATTGCTATCTACATATCTCACAGAACTATAAAGTTCTGTAACCTATCTCATGACCAGTCCATCCTGTTGGTCTATATGGAGCATTTCGTTGTTCTGTGATTTATTGTTTTGATATTTAGTTCTCAATTTTCAGCTTAATTTTAGGTTATTGTTTGAAGTTTGAATATTTAAAAATCATGTGTTATTACTGTCACCGACTGTCCTTGTGAATGAGTAAAATTTGAACCGGACTACACAAGAATGTCTAACAGAGACTCCAATGATACAATAGATTATGATGATCCTAAATTCAGAATAACTCCTTTTCAACAGGCAGCTGCATCATGTACCGGGGCTGTTGTAACCTCACTATTTGGTTAGTTTACACACCGTAATCACCAAGAATAATGTACAGTAATTGTTGACAATTCGAATAACGATTCCTACTTTCAGTTACTCCCTTGGACGTGGTGAAAATCAGGTTGCAGGCTCAACAAAAGGCTGTGAAATCTCAGTCGAAATGCTTTCTATATTGCAATGGTCTCATGGACCACTTTTGTAGGTGTAGTCCCGATGATCCTAACTCTCGATGGTTACAAAGGCCTGGCCACTTCAACGGAACCATTGTAAGTTTAATCAACAATTGGAGTATAGTGTAGAAGAAACTGGAACCTCTCACGGAATAAATCAAAAACCGAATGCTGCTTCCACCCTAGAACTGTAACATTCTTTTTGACGTGTTTCACCAATCCACTTTGCATCATTAGAAAATGATTATACCAATGCCTGAGTATAACTTTTCCTGTTTATATCTAACGGGATACACTTTCATTATCAGTCGTGAATCAGTGATTTCTTGAGTAGTAAATCACAGTAGATGAGTTGATTAGTGGGGAGTATCTTCAAATTTTTAAAAAGACACTGAGTAAAAGTTCACTGTTCTTTCATATGAACCAAGATTTTGTTGTTTAGTGATTTCAGCAATCAAATTTTTCAGGACGCCTTCATAAAAATAAGTCGGACAGAAGGAATAAGCTCTCTCTGGAGTGGCTTGAGTCCAACCCTTGTATTAGCAGTACCTGCCACTATAGTGTATTTTGTAGTATATGAACAATTGAGACTAAAATTGAAAGGCGTTCATAATGGAGATAATGCAATTCGAAAGCAGCCGTTTTGGATACCTCTTATATCCGGAGCAACGGCTCGTACCCTCTCCGTTTCCATTGTTAGTCCTTTGGAATTGATAAGGACTAAAATGCAATCAAGAAAACTTAGTTACCTTGGTAAGTTTTTAGGTACTAATTAATTGGGTTCTACTGAATCAAAATTCGAAAGCTCTGTCTGATTTGTAACTCTATCAAACAGTTGGCTAAAAAGTTGGTAGGCCTACGGTTTTCTGTATTACTTGAATAAGTCTGAGGTTACGTTTTCAGAAATTGGGGAAGCCCTGAAAATTCTTGTGAGGCAAGACGGTGTTAGAGGGTTATGGAAAGGTATTTTTCCGACGCTGTACAGAGACGTACCCTTTTCTGCCATATACTGGATGAGCTATGAGACAATTAAAGTATTATTGGGCGGTCCAGATCCCCAGCCATCTTTTTGGAGAAGCTTTATATCGGGAGGTATATCAGGAGGTGTAAGTTCTACTTGGTTGATCATTTCCTCACAGGTTGAAAGATGTGCATACTGAAGATGTAAATTGTTCAGCTTGGATTCCACTGGATATTGACTTTGAGTTATCAATTTGAACAGGCTTTTTGAACAAAATAGTAAATTTTCAGTATTCAGTATATTTATATGCTTTCTCACATTGATAGACAGTCTTTTTCAAATAACCATTTGCATTTTTGCAGCTTGCCGCTACTATAACCACACCCTTTGATGTTGTGAAAACACATCAACAAATTGAATTTGGAGAAACAACTTTATACGGCGGTAAGTTTTATCAGTGACATGCTCAATTCTTTAACTCATTGAGAATATTTCAAATTTGATAGAGATAATCAATAAAAATTAAAAATGTCACAATTGTCTCCTAACAAATGGCATTTGTCACAACAATCATCTTTAAATAAAAGCAGTCTTTGGTGAAAGAGATTTGTCATAATTGTTTCAAGGCAAATGACATTTGCTAGAGTTCTTATTAACTAAATGCCATTTGTCACAATTATCTTTAAACAAAAAAGAGTTGGTCACAATTGCCTTTGTGATTGAAATCTGCCACCATTTTTTCCAGAAATATGACATTTGCAAAAGTTCTCCTCTGATGAATGGCATTGATCACATTTTATTCAACAAATATTTGTCACAATTATCTTCAAATAAAAAACATTAGTCTTTGGTAAAAGAGATTTGTCATAATTGTGACAAGTGACATTTGATAGAGTTCTCTTCAGATAAATGTCATTTGTCACAATTATCTTCAAACAAATGACAGTTTGTCACTATTATCTTTAAACAAATAAAATTTTTACACTTGTATTCACAATTGTTCTCAAATTTGAAAATATTTAAAATTTTCTTTGAACAAATATATTCATAATTGTATTCAGGTAAATGAAATTTGTCATCATTGTCTTCATCTTCAACAAATGAAATCCTCATTCACAATTCTCTTCAGATAATTCACATTTATCAAAATTGTTTTCAAACGGTTGCCATTTTCCACAACTATTTTCTAACAAATGAAATGCCACAGTTGTATATTGATTTGATTCAAAACAAATAGTATATTCCTCAATAACAAATCTATCTGATCAGTTATTAATTGGGTACAGATACATTTGATGAAAACTATAAGCAATAATCTATCCCAATTTTGAATAAATTAAAAAAAAACAAGTTTTCCACTACTTCAACACTAGGAATAATTTTACTCATTATCATTTTCTTTTTCTGTGTAATTATTTTTCAACCCTAAGGCATAATCCTCACATTTGATAATTTAATTGGTTTTATCTTCAATTGGATAAAAAAATATTCATAAAAATGCATATTTTCAAAACCAACACTGCTCCTAAACATCGTATCGCATTTTAACAACCAAATTGGCATAGGTAAACTAATTCCTAAATCTGAACTTTGCCTAACAGAGCACCCTTTGCTATTTTCGTACTTTCTAAAGCATCAAAAAGTCTAGTGTCAATGCCGATCTCATCAATTTTAGACAGTGTTCATATGTTCATTGATTTTACATACTTTCTCCAAGGCTTGTTGTTTCTCCCAAATCGGATATGTGCTGTGTCTTCTTTGAAACGAGTTTTGATGGCTCACTTAGTCTGACCGATACATTTTTTGTCAGTCCTCACCAGTTATTTCAGTTATCCCCGACTTCCAAATTCTTGTCTTCAGAGTTACCCAACATTTGTTGAAGTGATGAAGCAGTTTTGAAGGCTATTTTCACGTTCAACTTTGAAAAAAAAATTACAATTCGGTTGGTGAAACACGCTTGATGGCATCGAATTGAATATTTTTTTCAGATAAACCACAAAAAAGTAGGACGACAGCCGAAGTCATCAGACAAATCTACAGGGAGCAGGGCATCCGCGGGTTATTTACCGGTGTAGTACCCCGCCTGATCAAAGTAGCTCCGGCTTGTGCCATCATGATATCCTCCTTCGAGTACGGGAAAATATTTTTCAACAGGTTAGCTAATACGGAGTTCATCCCTGATGATATTGAGACAAACACATTACCTGCGCAACACAAAGTACCTGGTACTGGTAGCAGTACCAGCGGTTCATTGTTAAAGCCAAAGAACATTATTAGTTCAAGTAATTCTAGTCAGGAATTGTTGTGATGGGATTGTGATAATGGGTCTGAGTTCTTGGTTGAATCATTTTGAAACTTCGTCATTCCTAATAGATGGCTTCGATGTTGATGGGATTGGTTTCTATCATAGGTAGACAAATACCGACTTTAATGTAAAAAAAATCCACCGGTTGTACATAAAATATCTGCCATTTCAAACTGTTATTGTTACCATTATCAACCATTTTATATGTTGTTCAGTTCATATATAGGTGAGTTCATTAAATTTTTCAATATTCGTTTTATATGGTTATTTTTTCTCTAATATATAAACATTGTATGTCGATGAGGTATTGTTCACATGTGAAAGTATAAATACATAAGAAAAAATTGACACGACGCTGCACTTTTCTGTCGAACCACGTAATTCCTCTGAATATTTTTTACAGTAGCTGAAGAAGTAACGATAATAAATAAATAAAAAGAGTTTACATAGTAGTGGAACCCTTGGAAGTTTGAACTCGGGTCTCCCTGGGGGTGAATGAATTTACATGAAACCAACGGATTTTTTTGCAACTTGTACCTTTTTTTTGCATTTGGAGCATAATATTTTCTTCAAAATTAACAAAACATTGACCCTAGCCGTGAAAGCCAACATTCCTATAAAAAAGGACCTTTTCCGACATTCCTGTTTGTTTGAAGGGTCGTAGGGACCTTGAGCAGGTGATAAATGTGGAGGGGAGACCGGCAGTTGCACCCTATTACGAATTTTTTTGACTAGTTCAGTTATAATTGATAAGTCTCCAGTATATGTTGTGTATACGTAATAGTGAAAATTCTATGGTTTTGTTGAACATTTCAAAGAGTTTCCCAAGCTATTTATTCATCGAAGCAACTTGAAAACCTTGCATATTTCTAAGGCAAGTTTCATTTACAACGGTTTTTTACAAAGTAGTTTTTTTGACATTGTTTGGTAAGTGGTTTACTAAAAATTCCTGTTCATAATTACGAGGTCTGTTGAAAAAATAAGGTGAATTTTCGTTTTTCTCAAAACTCCTTATTTTGTCAAATGCACTACTTCTAAATAGGTAGAGATCTATATTTGTGGCATCCACAACACATTCCCGAAAAAAATTAATCAATTTCATCCCCCCTCCCGAGAGTTCCGAGGTTTCAACCTTTATAAAGGTCCAGGAGGTCCACTATAGGAATTTCACGGGATTTGTAATCAATACTCACAACTTCATTTAATTATTTTTGCCGTGATATTATCGTTCCAAACATAGGAATGCTAGCAACACTCAGAAACATATTGTGTACCCTAGTTTTTTCAGAAAACGTGAATATTTCTTGGTTGAAGTTCAAAAACTGAAAGGAATTCATTTTCAGCAAGGAAAAACCTACAGAAAAGCATGAAATTCCAGATCCTCATAAATTTGGATCTATTCATAGTCTTTTGGCTTGCATACCCGTTTGAATAATGCAATTTTTCGATGAAGAGACATTTCAAGTGATAGAAGCATAAATAAAAGTATAATGTGAAGAATGATCTCTCGAGGTAACTTGGCATTTTTTCTGGGTAAGGATAAAGTGGTGGAGTTTACTAAATTGTGATTTGTACAGAGTTTGTGATATGTTCGAAATCAAAGATATTGCAGTTGTAAATAAAATCGCAAAAAGTCTGGAGTATGATTTTCTGATACTGAATAGTAAAAATGATGTAATTGTAAATTGATTTGAATTCGCTTATAGTTTGAGTTAACTGTTTGTACCCAAAAGAAAAGGGTTTCATTAACCTCCCTTATATTTTTAAAATATCCATGAATCATATTGAAATTGAGAAAAAAAAATCAGATTCTAATGAGAGTTACATTCAACATTAAAAAATATATCTAGATTTAAAGTCATGGCCATATAAGCGAAGTTTTATTTTTCACCCTTTTTTTTTTAAAATGGGGACTACGAAAAAAATTGCTAAAACGATAAATAGACAGCAAGTTTTTGGTGCAAACTCATTTGGCAGTATTATCATTTGATTAATGTAATTTGAATTTGGCACAAAGGTAGAAAGGTTATGAAAAAAATGGAGTAAAAAGACTTTATTGAACAAAAATAATAATAATAATCCTTACTGCAATGCTTTCATATCAGTATTAGGAAGGAAACATGCCAAAAAAGAACAGCCTGAAAAATAAATAATGAATGTTAATCAACTACAAATAAATATTGTTACGGGTCATTATGAATAAAATACAGAATTCCACTTGGATTTTTCAAAATTTCAGCTAGATTACATTGGGCCAAAGACGTGATAATATGGACTGTCCGTAACGTCACTTTTACATATATTCCACCTGCGAATAACGTCTTGGCTACTGCGTCACGTCATGTGACAACTCTCTCTCTCTAATTTTATGGACTCGGGCGCATTTGTCCAGGCTCCTCCTATCAATTTGACAGAAGCTTCGTCGGGAGGGACGCAGCGGTCTTGCTCGAAGCAGTGCTGCCACCCCTTTTTTGTCACACTTTTTATAATAAAAAACTATGTGCTTTTTTTACTGTCGCCTCCTGATCAGGAGATCTTTCGATTTTTAACATATATGTTTATTGGATCGCCTTCGCATTTGTCCAGGCTCCTCCTATCAATTTGACAAAAGCTTCGTCGGGAGGGACGCAGCGGTCTTGCTCGAAGCAATGCTACCACCCCTTTTTTGTCACACTTTTTATAATAAAAAACTATGTGCTTTTTTTACTGTCGCCTCCTGATCAGGAGATCTTTCGATTTTTAACATATATGTTTATTGGATCGCCTGTTCTTCGGGAGACATTCTGATTTTTGAATTCACATATATGACCCCTTTACGTGGTTATCCAAACCCCCGGCCTGGATACCGGCGTGAATAAAGGGGCTCTCAAACTTCACTTTTTTTTGTAAACTCTCATACATTTCAGTATTCATTACAAGGACTAACACAACACAACTCACTCCATGTGACAACTCAAATGCCAAAATTTCCACATGGGACTATGCGTGACGTAAAACATTGTGACGTATCTGACTTTAATTGAGTGACGAAATGCTAAAACGTGAACCTCTTTATCTATTTTTAGTTGTTAGAGTCACTGCTCTCTCTTTAATGGCCAGTCCACATTACGACGTCACTGGATTGGGTTATGGGTTAGGTTAAGTTAGATTTGATAGATTCTTTAAAATCTCAACAGTCTTATGAAGCCAGTAGAATCCATGTGATTTTATTGATTTTCCTCATTTATATTTGAAAATCTTTGAAAAACTTTCGAAAACGAATCCAAGTAGAGTTTTGAACTCTAAAAATATATTGAATTCGCATAAAATCATCAGATGTTGAAAGAAACGTAACTCTAAACCATTTTGCGCGTTCTCTAGGAGCAGAATAATCCATTTTTCAAGTGACAAACTCACCTATCATCACAGATCCTACGGAGAAAAATGGAGGTGCACATCCAGATTCTAATAAATAAGGAAAACCCATATTTCCCAATGCCGCTCCAAGTCGCCCAAACATCATTGTTAAAGAAACAGACATCGTTCTGAAAACATAAAAATAACGCAATGAGTATTGAACGAAAGTAAATTTTTTTGTGGAGAAGTGCACTGATTGAAATTCCGCTTATTTCGATTGAATTGAATAGGTAAGTATTACAGTTCCAAGTAGGATCATAGGACGAATAAAACTTTTAAAACAACCTGAATTTTGAACGTAGTTTCATTTTTGGTTTCGTAAGTGTTTAATCATGGTTACCAACCTCAACTGGATATTTTCATTCGCAATAAAAATGTACTTAAAAAGTACTTGCAAGAAATTGTATTCAAATAAATTCAAGTACGTTTTCGAAGTGAGTATTTGTACTTGTACTTAAGTGAACTTTATCAAAAGTATTCGTACTTTGTTCTTGAAACTAGAACGTCAAGTACTTGACCCAACTCTGAATACTCATAACCATATCGTTACCTCAAAGAAGTTGGAGTTAGATCGACTACCACGGCCAGAATAACATTTATTCCTATACTTCCAAAGGTCACGAACATTGCAGAAAATATGATCGTGGAAAGAACATTTCGTGACAAGTACATTGTCATTGCCATAGAACCAGATACAAGTCCCAAAATACCTGGAACATAAAAAGTGTTGATCACATTTGGATTGTAGAATACAGTATTATTTTTGATTAACTACAAATAAAGTGCTAACCCAGCACGAAATGTGAATATACGGGGTGATACTGGGAAAGCTATTTTACTTACTTAACAGTTTCTTTTTTCCAATAGAGTTGATCAATGTTCCAGCGGTTATGTAGCCAAAAATACTGGTTATGGCCACAATCATAGAAATTATATACACCTCTGTGTTATTGGAATTCTGTAAATGAAACAACAGAAGTGGAATTGGAGTAAAATCCTTATTTGATATTTTATGATGAATATCTCAAGGGAAACTTCCATTCGCAACTGAAGTTGAACTTTGAATCTTACCACTTCACACGCCTTGGTCGTGTTCATACTGTCATTAGTCAGTTGGAATATTTCTAGCATTTCGCAGAGTGTAGCCTCCTCATCATTGTTGTAATACCGATAGTCATTCATCGCCTGATATATCTGAGGTAACCACAAACGTAAAGTATTCAAACTGAAAAAAAATCCTAGTCAGTGTGTACAAAATGTATATATCTCAATGCAGGCTCTCAGTTGTGTAATTCTCATGTTTTTACGATGTAGGTGTCTATGTTGGGCAAGTTATTATCTCAAAATAAAATATGAAATACTAACAATTTTTTTAATTTATAATTGTGTAACAAAACTTATTTTGTATCTAGAAGAAATTCAGTAGTAAGCACTAAACACATTGTTTTTCCCAGCGAGACTCCTTTTCGTTTGGAAGGTCTCGCTGAAGCGTTCAACAGTAGTTTACCATCAATAAGACGCCTTCACTAACGTCTCCTAAATTTTTTGGAAAGTAGTCGCGGTGGGAATGAAAAAAATGTACTTTCAAACTTATTAGACAACCTCTGAAGCTTGAAATGGTTTCAACATTCTTTTGATTCGTTTGTAGTTAGGGTCTTTTTTCTCTATGACCTCTTTGAAGGTAATCCACCCTTCTCTTTGAGGATCCGTCATGGTTGTGATTGATTGTGGATCAGCCATAAGCCGTCTAATTCTGGTCCAACAAAAATACCCCCTGCAACTTTGCCTCTAAGAAGCCTGCAAACTTCGATATCAAGTATTTGAATCAATGTCCATCTTTTGGAAGTGACTTCACAAATTGCTTCATCAATCCCAGCTTTATATGAAGCAGTGGTAGAACTTTATGACGAGGCACCAAAGTTTTGGTCCAGTGATTCCCTCGGTCTCTACTATCCCAACATGCCTGCACACTTGCTAACCGTGGTCTTTATATTTTAATTCTTAAATAATCAATTCCAGGTTCTTGTAGGTTTCCTGGAGGTGTACGGAGTGACCGATAGAAACGGAGGCATAGAAACCGTTATGCCATTGTGTTGGGTCATTTGAGAATATTAAATGTATCCAAATGAACCAACTTGTCCTCTTGGGCAAAGTGGGATACAGGGCACAGGACGATCTTTATTTAGAAAGTAATGATACAACAGTGATAAAAATATTTTCAGAACACCTAAATACATACAAATCTGTCGAACACATCCAGACAGAATTACAAAAAAATTGACCTAACCAAAAAAGTCTATTATGGACTTTCCCCTCTGATGCTTCTTCAGCAATAAAAGTTTCGATGTATTTTGCTAGTTTTGACTCACCTCATCATAGTCATGAATTGTAACAGCGAAACTAAAACCATTTTGGTAATGTTCGGCCAAAAAAAAGTCGGCGAAATGTTTTGGAAGCCATCCCTGAACCCAGTGTTCTTTGTTTTTGTGACAGAATCATTATCCTCCGAGTTATTTACATCGATAGTGTATATTTTGATTTCATCGACCAGATTTTTTATCTGTGAAGGAAAGTAGTTATTAGAAATGGCAACAAAAATCGCCTGCACAAGTGAATTATATCCGAAGGAGACTACATTGAAAGTGAAAAAATAGAAATTGATGGTCGTTGAGTCTATTATTCAGGGAGTCACTCTGTCAGCCATTTAGTGAATCAGTCAGTCAGTGAGTCAGTCAGTTAATCCGTCAGCGAGTTGGTGAATCAGTCAGTGAGTCCATCAGTGAGCCAGTCGGTGAGTCTGTCAGTGGGTCGGTGAGTGAGCCAGTCATCCAGTGAATCAGTAAGCGAGTCAGTCAGTGAGTCAGTAAGCGAGTTATTCAGCGAGTCAGCCAGCGGGTTAGTAAGACAGTCTGTCATTCCGTCAGTCAGACAGTCAGCCAGCCAGTGAATCATTCAGTGCGTTAGTCAGTAAATCAATGGACCAGCAATTCAGTGAGTTCGTCAGTGAATCATTCAGTCAGTGACTCAGTGGGCCAGTGAGTCAGTGAGTGAGTCAGACAGTGAGTAAATCAGTGCGCGTGTCAGTCAGCGTGTCAGTCGGCGAGTCAATCAGACAATGAGTTAGTAAGTCAGCCAGTGAGTCAGTCAGTAAGTGTATCAGTGAGTGAGTCAGCCTGAGATTCAGTGAGTCAGTCAGTCCGTTAGTAAGTCATAGGGTCAGTCAGTCAGTCATATAATCAGTCAATCAGATAGTTGATTGCTTTCTTTCTGTGGAAGAATCCCGCACTCTTTTTTGTGAAGATTGAGAAGTAGAAAGCTAAAACTTTTCATCAAGAAAACTTTCTAGTGTTCCTCAACCTAATTCCATTACAATGTAATAAACTGATACTTTGTCATACGAATATGTTCTAGACATATTATACGAGAAGGATGATTTGTAAATTGAGGTTTTGTGTGATTTTCCATGAATAAAATATGGTACAATTTCCATTGCATGGCGTACAAACCGGGAAAGAAAAGGTAATTTTTGTGTATTTCAATATCTGTGAAGGAAAGTAGTTATTAGAAATGGCAACAAAAATCGTCTGCACAAGTGAATTATATCCGAAGGAGACTACATTGAAAGAGAAAAAATAGAAATTGATGAGTCAATATGTTTTGCAATATGAAAATGCACCTTATTTTATGAACAGTTTGAGTTTCCTACTTTTGCAATTTTAATTTTTTTTGATAACTTTGGTCGTTGAGTCAGTTATTCAGTGAGTCACTCTGTCAGCCATTTAGTGAATCAGTCAGTCAGTGAGTCAGTCGGTTAATCCGTCAACGAGTTGGTGAATCAGTCAGTGAGTCCATCAGTGAGCCAGTCGGTGAGTCTGTCAGTGAGTCACTAAGCGAGTCAGTCAGCGAGTCAGCCAGCGAGTTGGCAAGACAGTCTGTCATTCCGACAGTTAGACAGTCAGCCAGCCAGTGAATCATTCAGTGCGTTAGTCAGTAAATCAATGGACCAGTCATTCAGTGAGTTCGTCAGTGAATCATTCAGTCGGTGACTCAGTGGGCCAGTGAGTCAGACAGTGAGTAAGTCAGTGAGCATGTTAGTCAGCGTGTCAGTTGGCGAGTCAATCAGACAATGAGTTAGTAAGTCAGCCAGTGAGTTGGTCAGTGAGTCAGTCAGTAAGTGTATCAGTGAGTGAGTCAGCCTGAGATTCAGTGAGTCAGTCAGTGTCAAGTCAGTCAGTCCGTTAGTAAGTCAGTCAGTCATAGGGTCAGTCAGTAAGTCAGACAGTTGATTGCTTTCTTTCTGTGGAAGAATCCCGCACTTTTTTGTGTGAAGATTGAGAAGTAGAAAGCTAAAACTTTTCATTAAGAAAACTTTTTAGTGTTCCATCAACGATTGAAAACTTCAGTTTTGGCTCAAATTAAGCTACCTAATTCCATTACAATGTAATAAACTGATACCGGATAAGTTTCCATAGGTTTTCCTGTATTGATCCTGTAAACTCTCTGGAAGACCTCAAGAGCTTCTTCGTTTTTTCCCATGGCCATCAGAAATTTGGGACTTTCCGGCAAGAAAATGAAAGCGAGTCCGCTTGCCAGTGCTGGAAGAGCACTCACCATCAAGTAGATGTTCCAGGAATGAAATTCTGAAAAAATTATTTCGAGTTTGTCATTGAAATAACCATAAGTTTCGGTGGTGGAACATACCTAGGTTTCCTATATTGAAGTTCATCTGGACGGGGAGTATGATTAGTGCCAAAACAGGCAGTAGAAGGTTTCCCAGACTGAAAATCGCCCCCAGGATCATTTGTACCCTGGCTCTGTTCTTAGCACAGTGAAATTCGGAAAGGTAGGCCGTTAGTGCTGCAAACGGCCCATTGATACTGAAAAAAGAACCACATTTTCAGCTATGAAGAACGTTTAGACAAATTCAACTATACAGGGCTTTTCATGATGAGCGTTAATTAGCCGTTTCTGAAAAACTATTTAACGGATCAACCTGAAAATTCCACAGTATGCATATATCAATATGACCTACACGCCTGAAATATTTCAGACGAAGCGGCGTTGTCGCTTCTACTATAAAGTAGCGGCTTCTTTGATTTTTCAAATGGAACACCCCGTATATAATATCATATTATGATTCATTATCACTTTGTCAA